TACAAATAAAAAAGATCTGGGAGACAGACACAGATCTCAGCAGTTGAGCACTTGCTACACAGTTATGAGAATCAGAATTTGGGTTCAGTACCTAGATAAGAAGCCAGACATGCTAGGCATGCCTATAAGCCCTGCTCCAAGGAAAGAAGATAAACCAGGACCACTGAGGCTTGCTGGCTTTCAGCCTAACTGAGAAAACATGAATCTCATACTCAGGAAAAGGCTGTACCTCAAAGAGATAGGCAGAAAATGACAGAGGGCAATCCCTAATCTCCTCTTCTGGCCTTCATATATGCACACAGGCTTACATAGATGCACACATGTGTACACACAGAGAAAATAATAATTTTTTGAAATCTGCTAAAAAAAAAAGTAACAAAAACAACTAAGGGCAACCTCTAGTTAAACAGATTAAAAACCACTATGCTAATTATATGGAAATAAGGGGAAAAGTCAAATAAAAAAAACAAGATGGTAGACCTTTTCCTAACCTTACCAATAATTACATTAGCTAAAAATGGTCTGAACACACTAATTAAAGTGTTTCTGACAGCTTGAATCCAAGACCAATCACATACCATCTACAGTTGACTCACTTTAACATCATAATAACATACCTAGCATGTATGACACTCTGGAATAGATACCCAACACACTCATAACTTTCTCTCTCTCTCTCTCTCTCTCTCTCTCTCTCTCTCTCTCTCTCTCACACACACACACACACACACACACACACATACATAGATGTGTGTGTGGTATCACATATATTAAGAATAACAATATGGAAATGTGTAAATTAACTGGAATCTGAGAGAGCCATCCCTGAGATGAATTGCCCCTATAATCTCAACTCCTATGGAAGCTGAGGTAGAAAGATCCCAAGGTCATCAATGGGAGCTACAGCCTGAGTGCAAAGCCATCCTGAATAATTTAGCAAGGCTAAAGAGGCTATGGGCATAGCTTAGTGATAAAGAGATTGGCTGCATGTGTCAGACCAGCTCTGGATTCAGTCCCCAGCACTCAGCAAAGAATAAAGAAAGTAATAACTAGAAAAATAGCAAAAAGAAAAAAATAAAGAGACGTGGAAAAACTATGCTGTATAACATCAGAAAGTACATTTCAGAGGATAAAATACCATAAGAATTAAAGTATGCTATTTCATAAGGATAATGGAATTTATCCACCAAGAAGACATTGCCATCTCAAATGAATATTATATGCCTATTAGCAACATTTCAAAATATGAACCAAAACCTAATGTAGCAGGACGGCGGTAGTGCACACCTTTAATCCCAGCATTTGGGAGGCAGAGCTAGGCAGATCTCTGTGAGTTCAAGGCCAGCCTGGTCTACAGAGCAAGATCCAGGACAGGCATCAAAACTACACAGAGAAACCTTGTCTCAAAAAAAAAAAAGAAAAAGAAAAGAAAGAAAGAAAGAAAGAAAGAAAGAAAGAAAGAAAGAAAGAAAGAAAGAAAGAAAGAAAGAGAGAGAAACCTAATGTGAAAGTAAGGAGACATAGATAAACCCACCATTTCAGTAAGAGCTCTCTTAATGCAAAGATCTTTAGAATAAGTTTTTAGAAATCTAAAGTATATCCCTAAAAACCAATAGAACACTAAGAAATAAAAATAGAAAACTTAAGCTAAACAAAAATAAAAGTGAATTATACCAGGACTTGTCAAAATGACTAATCAGTATTTCAAAGGAACTCTGTAATACTTGTGGTATTACCAGAAAAAAAAGTAGTTAACTCGATAGCATCAGCCTCTACCTTAAGAAACTGGACAGAAAAGAGAAAAGTAACATAAAGTAGATAGAAAAGGTTAAAAAAAATACCAAGTTTTAAAAACAGGAAAACAATAGGGAAATCACTGAAATCAAAATGTGGCCTTTTGAGAGCAATTAAATTGCTATGCCTCCAACCAAGCAGATAATAAAAAAAGTACAAGAGACAAACTGCCAACATAGGGAAAGAGAAAGGAGTCACAGTTATAGATTCAGCAAATAACGCTGTTTACATGAGATTTGAGAATTTCTTGGGAGACACAAATTACTGAAGTTCACTCAAGAAGAATAGATGACCAAAGAAGTCATACATGCTCAATAGGTGTGGAAACTGTAGCTGAAAATGTGTTGAGGCAGCAGCTACAAGAGGACAGACATCAACTGGAGAAATCATCTCATCAGTGAACTCAAACAAAAAAGCTAAGGAGGCACAGCACAAAATCTAAAAAACTCCTTCTGTAGTACCTTTACAGTAAATTCAGAAAGACATTTTATTAAAAAAGTAAAACTCTAGACAATCAACATACCTAAATATAGATTTAGATGCGAATGTTCAAAACAAATTTTAGCAAACTGAATCCAACAGTCTATTAAAGGTATCCTTAGGAAATGAAGTTTATTTCAAATATGTAGGGCTTCCTTAACAACTAAAAATCAACTAAGGCTATTTATGAGATAATAAAACTAGAAACAATATTTTATTATGTTGTAGAATATTAACTTTAAGTTGGATTACTTTTGTTTATGTTGCATTTGTTTAACTGTGAATCTGTGTTACTGTGCCTGTCTAAAACATCTGATGGTCTAATAAATAACTGAATGGCCAATAGTGAGGCAGGAGAAAGGACACACAGGGCAGGCAGAGAGAATATATAGAAGTAGAAATCTGGGAAGAAGAAGAAGTAACCAAAGAAGGAGGAGAATTACAGGGGCCAGCCACCCAGCTACACAGCAAGCCATGGAATAAAGTAAGATTTACGGAAGTAAGAGAATGGGAAAAGCCCAGAGGCAAAAGGTAGACAGAATAAGTTAAGGAAAGCTGGCAAGAAACAAGCCCAAGCTAAGGCCATGCATTTATAAGTAAGAATAAGCCTCTGTGTGATTCCTTTGGGAGCTGAGTGGCACCCACCACCACCACCAAAGAGATAAAGAGCAAAAACAACAAACAACATTGTTATCTCAAAGGTACCAAAAATTTTGTTTTGCAAATTCAAAATCCATTTCTTATATAAACCCCTAGCTAACTGGGGTTATACGAAAATATCCTTATTCTTTTATAAATAATATTTAAAAATTAAAACCCGCAGCCAACATTATAAAATATGGATGTTTTACTCTTATTATCATAAACAAGGCAGATATAATTGCTTTTCATTACTTCATTTCAACATTATATCTGAAATTCTAACCAATGCAATCAGATAAGAAAAAGTTCTTAAAGCATCTAGATGAATGAAAAAAGAAATACAACTGTCTTCATTAATAAATAGCATAGCATGAAGCAGAAAATATGACAAGAAATACAGGAAAACTAATAAATGAGTTTAGCAAAACTCCAAGTTACAAAATCAGTATATCAAAATCAATTGCATTTCTTCATACTGTCCATGGAAAATCAAATATAAAACCAGAGAATAGTATCATTTACAATGCATTAAAAAGCATGAAATACCTAGAGACAAATCTGATGAGAGATATGAGAATGCCTCATCTACTCCTTCTAAACAGTAAAAAATTGCCTTGGAAAGTTAAAGACCAGAATTAATGAGGAGGTAGATCCTGCTCTTGAATGGGGAGATTTGATATTGTACCATGTCAATTCTCTACAAATTACTCTTGATTTCATTCTAGCCCTATCTAGCTCCTAGAGGACTGATTTGTAGAAATTTACAAGTGCATCCTAAACTCACATAGAAACACATGGGACTGATAATAACTAAACATCTCTGAGCAAGAAAAATGAAGATGGAAAACTGACTATCAGATTCTAGAACCTATTATGAAATGTCACTAATTAGAAGAGCATACTGTTATTGTGATGGCAAACTCATGGAACTGAATAGCAAGTCCAGAAACAAATCTGCACATAGATGACTTATTTAAAAGATCAGTTCCTGAAAGTGATATAAAAAGAAAGGAAGATTATTTCAACTAGCAGAGTTAGAGCAATACAAGATCCTTATGCAAAGACTGAACTTTGGTCTTTTCTCTTCATACTGTATGTAAATAGCACAAATACATCATATACTGAAATTTCACACCTAAAACTATAAAACTTCAAGATGAAAACATGGAGAAAATCTCCATGACTTAGATATTAGCTCCAATGCCAAAACATGCAATTCTTTTAAAAACAAATTCACACTTGGGAACCTGTGTAAATCACCTGGGGTAAAGTGATTGCCATAAAAACATCAGGGCTTGGGCTTAGATCTCTAGAACCAGTTCAAAGACAGGCACAGCACACATCTGTCATCCCAGTACTCCCACACGGATGTGTATCTGCAGAAAAAAAAAGCAAATTAGACACTTTCAACTTGAACAAAAAAAAAAAATACTTCAAAATAGGCGAAAGACTTTATTACCGGAAATACTAAAACTTCTAGAAGAAAACATAGGGGATACCCTAACTTTGCCATAGAGTTTTCAATTTTTTAATGGTTGTAGGAAGCACCCTACACCTGAACACTTTATTAAGACCTTATTGCTTAAGTAGTTGGACACTGATTAGCTATAAACGTTTTCTGTACCTGGTCCCTGGTTACTCTTCAGAGCCTTCCCTGGTTGTTGGGAGCTGGGACACCTCTAGAAGGGGGCAAGAGTGGGAAAAACAGCACCTCCTAAGTGCCTTAGAGGTGAAATGGGCTTCAACAGGGCCCTCGAGTTAGCACAGGGGGCAGGAGTGTAGGCTTAAGCCAGGGCCCAGGGACATTGTTCCCTGAGGTAAATCAAGACCCACCCGCCTCTGACCTTTCCAGAATAATGGCTGGGTAAGAGGAACAGGCTGTGGAGCAGGCAAACTAAGTATACCTGATGGGGAAGTCATACTGGGCTGGAGCAGCCAGCACCAAGCCTCGGGGCAGGGAGTCTTCAGGAGTGACCATGCAAGGGAGAAGAGCGAAACTTCAGTTGAGGTAGCCATGTTCATGCAGGACAAGGCAGGGTTCCTCAGGGACAGGCTGCCCAGGCCTGGGTCTAGACCATCCAGTTCTTCAGTATGAAGGAATATAGGGGTGCAGTTAGGTGTTTCCTTAACCAAGTCCACTCTTTATGCCACCTGAATTTCCAAAGGCTAACATGGCCACCTTAGCTTTCCTTACGAGGCACTTGGTACAGGGCTGCTGGGGTGTGGTGTGGTGGTGACGTGGGAGGTGGCTCTGGTGGTCGCATCTAATCTACACAGCCACAAGTGAGGGTGGGGGCGGTCAGGGCCTTAGGGGCTACCATAGTACAAGCACACAGCCAGGCCGATGAGCAGTGTGGCCAGGAAGAAGATGACTGTGAGCTGGAGCGGCAGCAGCGCAGCCAAGAGCACGGCATTGACCACCAAGGAGCAGGACAAGATGAAGAGGCGCGTGCTGCTGCTGCCATGCTTCATGACAGCTGACATGAGCAGTCCATTTACTGCCTGGTTCAGCACCACAAGCACCGCCCATCCAGAGAAACCCTCTAAGAAGCCTGGGCCCGGGCCACTGCCCGCATAGAGTCCAAGGTTCAGGATCACCCCGAAAGTGTAGAGGAATACGCTGTCGCTTCATGACCAGTTCTGTGTACACCGATGACAGGCCAGAGATAAGGCCGTACAAGATGAGGAGCGCAAGTCCCAGTGAATTGATATGCAAGGGCATGGGATGGGGTGGGGGTGGGGGGCAGGAAGGGTGTTCCCAGGTTCCTGAAAGTCGCCTGATGTAGCCAGCAACAGCAGCAGTGCCAAACCCTGACGTGCAGAGAGGTGATGCCCAAGGCAGAGGCAGTACAACAGAGCTGTTCTTCCAGGTGCTGGGTCCTTGTAACGCTGCAGGTAGATCACCAGATTGTTGTTGGCGCCATAGAGCATGGCTGATAGTGCAAAAGGTATAGCCTGGCGCCAGGGTGGTGTGCCCTGGGGCTATGATTGCCAGCCCACCAGGAAGGAGGAGGTGCATTAGAGTAGTTTGATCAGCTCAGTGAGTAACACAGCTGAAGAGGGCCGGAAGGGCACTCGGCCATCCGCGTGGCACAGTGCTAAGAATGGTGCATGGGCACCATACATGGCCGTGGACAGAAATAGCATCAGGGTCCAGCGAGCCTGTCTTGGACGGGCAAGGCCTGGCATACCCCCATCTTCTACACTCATGGCCCACACCAGACCCTGGGTGGCCTGTGTAGCTAGCAAGGGACAGAGGAACTGGGACACATTGGAAGGAAACCGAGGGCAGAACTGCGGGACATCACCAGAGAGAACACTGAGGATCAGAGGCAGTTGCACACTCCACAGTTAGGACTTGAAGAGAGGGCTCATGTCCACAGTTTGGGGGTTAGCCCCGCGGAACTAGGGAGGGAAAGTGTGCAGGGTGCAGGTTGACAAACCACTGCCCACGCTCTGCTGGGAGAAAAGCAAGGATGAAAGAGGCAGGAGAGGTGGAGACAGCAAATGAACAACAGCAGGGGAGCCAGAGAGAGAGTCCGCGTGATACAAAGGCCTCTACCTGCAGGCCCAAGGCGCTCATCCTGCCTTCCCCAGAGGGTTTAGTCAGACCGCTTTCATGGTGACCTAATGTAGTTCTTCAGCGTCTTCTCCACGTTGGGTACAGTGTATGACTGAGCTACATAGATGCCAGTGCAAGTGCCCACCGCAAAGCCCAACACTGCTGACACCCTCAATCTGGCCACCACATAGCCTGCCAGGAATCCCTTGAGGAATGGGGAGGACAAGAGTGAGCCATCCTGGCCTACACCGCTGTTGGCTTCATCCTCCACAAGCTGCCGTAGGTACTCCAGCTGCTTCTTGAGAAATGTCAGGTCCTTAAGCTTGGGCAGAGAATCCTAGGACAAGGGAGAGGCTGGCTCCAGCAGACTTGACCAGTCCCATGCCCTGCTCAATTTTATCAGAGGCTAAGAACTAGGTGAGCTTGTCATCCACCATCTTTCCCCGCCAAACTTGTTGCTGAGTTTTCATTTTTTGATGTTAGATAAGTACATAAAAATATATTTAATAGTGAAAGTATAAATTTCAATGTGAATTGAAGTTCATTGAGTTGCATAATCTTTGAGTTTGGTTAATTTTGGTTTATGATATTTTTATTTGCAAAATTTTTATAATAATAAAGTTTAAATTTTTATTTTAAAAAATTTTAAAAATCATACTTTTCCAATTTTAGCACTTTTGTTCTTCTAAACACTTTTAAGAAAATGAAAAAATAATTTAAACTATGAGACTATCCTTGTAAATAATATAGCTGATAGAGATTGCCCAGTGGTTAAGATCACTTTCTGCTCTTCCAGAGGACCTGAGTTTGATTCCTGCACCCACATGGTGGCTCACAACCATCTCTTATTCCAGTTCCAGGGGACTCACACCCTTTCTGGCCTCTGTGAACAACAAGCAATGCATACAGTGCACAGACATACATGCAGGCAAAACACCTGTATACATAAAATAAAAAAAGTTAAGAATGGAGCTGTGGTGGTTTGAAAGAAAATGGCCCCCAAAGGAAGTGGCACTATTCTGAGGTGTGGCCTTGTTGGAGTGGGTGTGGTCTTGTTGGAGGAAGTGTGTCACTGTGGAGGCAGGCTTTGAGGTCTTATATATGCTCAAGTCACACTTAGTGTTTTGGACCACTTCCTGTTGCCTGCAAGTCAAGATGTAGGACACCAGGCTACTTCTCCAGCACCATGTCTGCCTGCACACCACCATGTTATACCATGATGATAATGGTCTAAACCTCTGAAAATGTAAGCCACCCCAATTAAATGTTTTTCCTTTATAAGAGTTGCAATGCTCATGGTGTCTCTTCACAGCAATAGAAACCTTAATTAAGACAAAAGCTAATAAGGGACTTTTAACAGATATATATAACTTGACAAAACTAAAAAAAAAAAAAATCAAGGCCTGGGCGTCATGATGCATGATTATAATCCCATAAATCAGAATGCTGAGGCAGGAGGATCCTGAGTATAGTGTCAACTTGGACTACATAGGGATGTCCTGTCACATGGGGGGAAAATGTTCTTTTAATGGGAAAATATTTGAGCAGACATCTTCCCAAAGATAATGTATACATGACATATAAACACATGAAAAGATATACATCATCATTAGTCAGTAGGGAAGTGCATATTAAATCATGATGAGTCAAAATACAGAGTTGTGGAGTCTAGCCCCAACAGATAAATCTACAAAACAACTCCCATACTTAAAACTGAGGGAACACTGCAGAAGAGGAGCCAGAAAGATTGTCAGAGCCAAGATCCGGGAGTTCTCTGTGAGACTGTCTTCTTGTAATGTCAGAAACTACACCCATGAAGTCTTACCAACATGCCTGCCTAAACATGAGCTGAACCAGGATCATACCAATAGACATGCCAATGTGGATGGGGTTAAAAAAAAAAAAAAAAGCCCATGAGGCCTCAACCCTACACAAAGAACTACAGGCAAATAAGGAATGTTGAGAGTGTGGAAAAAAGTCTTCCCCCAGGAAAAGCACACCAATTGGTTACCCAATACCAAATACTGAAGAAAAGCAAAGAGAAATACATGGGAAGGCTTGGAAGGAGGAAAGAAAAGGGGAAATTATATAATTATATTATAGCATCAAAGATAAAAGAAATAATTTTTTAAAAATCATAATTGGTGGAATTGGTTAATATCTTTGGTTAAATTTTTAACATCATTATGTAAAATTTATGCAGTTTCTCAGAAATTAAAGATAGAGTTACCATATGATCTGGCCATCTCATGGGTGTTTACCCAAAGGACATGACACTGACACACTAGACTCTAGTGACAAGAGAAATTACTCCCATGTTCAATGTAACATTATTCACAATAGCTAAGACTGGTATTCAACCTAAGTCTTCATCAACTGATGAGTGGATAAAGGAAAGGCTAGAGACAGATAGATGATAGGTAGGTAGATAGATGATAGATTAGATAGATAGATAGATAGATAGATAGATAGATAGATAGATAGATAGATAGATAGATAGATAAATAGATAAATAGATAGATAGATAGATTATATAGCTACTCTATCCAGCTTTGAAAAAGAAGAAATTCTGCCTTTTGTGTCACTCATGTTGAATCTGAACAAACTCACAAAAGAGGAGTCAAAGAGAGATGATGATCAAAGATATAATGTCTTAAAAGACAGGATGAAAGCTTTATCTTTGGGATTTACCACACTTCATGCAGTAGGTCATAATATAATGTACATCTCAAAGATACAAAAAAAGTAACTCATAAATGTTCTCACAATGAAAGTTACACATTTGTGTAGCTAGAGTTTTCCGCCTTGCCCACAGTCAGGACAAATCTTTGTCACCCGCCAGTCCCACAGCTGCTCAGACCCAACCAAGTAAACACAGAGACTTATATTGCTTACAAACTGTATGGCCGTGGCAGGCTTCTTGCTAACTGTGCTTA